ATAGATGAGCTCAGGACCATAATAGAAGCCATGAAGGACCAGCATAAGAAAGAAATGGAAACAATGAATGCCCAACATAGGAAAGAAATGGAATCCATAAAACAGATTCAAACAGATATCCAGAAACTCCTAGGTGATGCAAAGAAGAATAACATGATTGATAGGAATCCACAAAGTAGCAGGAGAAAATGCAAGTGACTTTAAAAAGCTGTTCACAGAATTAATGACAGAAAACTTCCCAAACAGAGGGGAAGAATTTGACATGTAGATAAGTGAGGCATATAGGACTCCAAATAGCTCCCGGAGCCTCGCTGGGTTTTCGGACCCAACATTGTGGAGGCCTTTTTGGCTGTTCATGCTCCGTGGAGTGAAAATGAGACTTTGAGTCTTACAGCACACACCTGTAATTCTAGCTACACAAGAAGTTGAGGCAGGAATATCACAACTTCCAGGACACTCAAGGAATCTTAGGGACCTAGCATTACCATGTGTCAAAAGAAAAATAGAAAATGACAAGCAAAAGGACCCAAGTTCGATCCCTGGTACCAAAAACAAAAACAAAAAATAAATAAATAAAAATAGAAAATGAAAACAGATAGGGATGAAAGCACATAGCACTGTGGTAGAGTGCATTCCTAGAAAGCATGCAGCCCTGGGTTCAATTTCCAGTGCTGCAAAAAAAAGAAAAAAAAAAAAAAAGCAAGGAACACAAATTCATAGCAAGAAAGGCAATGATAAATAGTGGGTAAGAATTTTTATACGAAATAATATGAAATCTATGAATGCATTTCACTTTCCTACATTCTTAATATATATATAAAATACCAACATGCAGGAGTACCATGGGACTGTTCTGTATCTTACTAGATACACATGGATCAACTGAACAGATTTATAGATTAATTTAGTGTCAATCTGAAGCACTTTGTAATACATTAAATCTGTAAATCAGACACATAAATCTCTCTAATAATACAAAAGCATGGAAAAACGATCGAAGACACTAAAATATATATATAAAATACCAACATGCAGGAGTACCATGGGACTGTTCTGTATCTTACTAGATACACATGGATCAACTGAACAGATTTATAGATTAATTTAGTGTCAATCTGAAGCACTTTGTAATACATTAAATCTGTAAATCAGACACATAAATCTCTCTAATAATACAAAAGCATGGAAAAACGATCGAAGACACTAAAATGTAACAAAATTATTCAATGAAAACGTATTTAATGAGAAACATAAGACAAAAATAATCACGAGTCCAAGCAAAAGCAAACTGGTGGACATAAATCCAACATCAAGAATAATATTAAATGTGAATGGATTAAGCAATTCAAGAAAAATAATTTTAGACTAAATAAAAAATAAGATACAAATATCAGCACTTCACATAAAACACATTATATTCAACATGCAAGTACACTGAAAGAATAGAAAAAGTATATACGAAATCAAACATAAGAAAATAGGAATGATTTTTAATATCAGAGAAATTGATCATTTTTCTAAAAATGTTATTTAATGTTGATGACAAGGCTAGGGATTTAGCTCAGGGGTGATGCGTCTGCCTTGCAAGCACAAGGTCCTGAGTTCGATCCCTGGTACAAAAAAGTGTTTATGAGAATAAATACAGTCAACTGATCACAAAGACATAAAATTATAAATGGATATATACTAACAACAGAGCTCCAACATATTTCAAGCAAAAATAACCAAATGGAGGAGGGAAAAAAGACAGCTCAACCATAATATATGGAAACTTCAATAAATCACCTTAAAAACATTTCTATCCAGTGCTACTAAAGTATAACCAACAAGTAAATCTGCACATATTTAAAGTGTACAACGCTTGATAATTGCATACACTGTGAAATGATCACACACCCATCATCTCACATAGCTAGCTCACACTCCAAAGGGATAAAACATCTAGGCAGAAAAATTTTAAAATGCTAATGTATAATATGAACATGATAAAATCAAGCACACCTAGCAGAACTCCACAGAATATTTCACCAAATAACTGTAGAAAATACATTCTTTGTGGGTATACCTGGAATATTTCCAGCAAAAACCACATAACAGGCCACAGAAGAAATCTCAATAAAATAAAAACAATGAAATAAAATGAAATATGTTCTTTGACACAATAAACTGAAATTGGAAATCAACAACAAAGAGAAATGAGGAAAAAAATTAAATGTGGAAATCAAGCTATATAGTTCTATGTAAACAATATGTGGAGGAAAATTTCAAGTGAAAACTACATTAAAAGAAAACTGACAGCCAGCTGTGGTGGTGAATGCCTGTAATTCCAGCACTCTGGAAGCCTGAAGCAGGAAGATGGCAAGCGCTAGCCAAACCTAGATAATTGAAGGAGACCCTGATTCAAAAAATATAAAAAGCAAGGGAAATAGATCAGTATGAAGGACTGAGTTTAACCCTTACACCACACAAACACACACACATACACACACACACACACACAGCCTAAAAAATATTTCTAATTAAATATTGCTAAGTAGTATTTTATATATAATACCTCATTGCAAAAATCACCCACATTTAACTATATACAATTGTTTCATTTAAATAGTAAATGTACAAATAAATTATCAATATAAATTTCTCAATATACTGCCTAAATAATACATAGGGCAAAAACTACAAAAAAAGAGAAATGAAATTTTCTTCTTGTAAAGTTGCATGTATATGAATTGATATTTTCTTTATTCTAAGGAGATGAAGAAAAGTAAAGGATCCATATGCCAATCGCTAGATCAACCAGTAATCCTACCACAAAGAGGTATAAGTAATACTTTAATTACTAATGCAGCTCCTTTATTTGGTACTGTGGATTGAGCACAGGACTGTCACACTGAGCTACATTCCCAGGCCTGTTTATTGTTTTGAAATAAAGTCTTGCTAAAGTGCCCAGGAGGGACTTAAACTTGTGATCCTCCTACCTCAGCCTTCCTGTGCTGGGATTATAAGTGTGTGCTACCATGCCCAGCTACTAATGGAACTCTAAAAATTCCTACCAAACTTCAACGCTCTGACATATGCCACATTTATTTGTTTGCTGTAATGTACTTCCATCTCATAGTCTATACCTAGTACATGCTGGGGACTGGACAATCAATGAAAACATTTAACAGAAATATATTAAACAAAGAAAGATGAAGATGATCCACACTTCAGAAGATTATTTGGCTTTAAAGAAAATTTTACACCTTAAAAAGTTAGGCATAAGAAGATAAATGTCCAAGGTGAATGCTAACTTCACAAACAGAAGGACCAGGGCTGTGGCTTAGTGGTAGAGCACTTGTCTAACACGAGTGAGGTCCTGGGTTCATTCACATATGTGATGCGTTTATATACATACACATACATGTGAAACAAAATGTTTTTCTTTATCAGTAATATTAATCAAACATAGGCTCTGTAAGTATGTATGAGTACAACACAATTTACTGAAAAACACACCTTTCAGCTGGGCATAGTGGCTCATGCCTGTAATCCCAGCACTGGGGAGGCTGAGGCAGAAGGTGGATGGCCATGAGTCTGAGGCCTGCGAGGGCTACACAGTGAGTTCAAGGCCAGCCTACACTGCATAGAAAGACCCTATCTCACCCCTTGCCCTTCAAGTACAATCTAAAACAAAAAAACAGACCTTTCACCATTTATTAACCAAAACTTTATGCCTATTTGTGAGTAGTTTTGTTGAATATAGTCCTAGAAGAAAAATTACCATTTATAACTGGTAGGAAAAAATTTAAATTTGCTTAAAAATACCACTTTAATTTCTCAAAACCCACTACCACTTTTTCTCTCTCAATAATGTGGTATCATGATAAAAAGTAAAGCTTCCTGTTTTACATGTTATATTCATCAATCACATTAAATATATTCATTTTCCATGTACACTTACTTCTGTATCTCCTGTAAGGAACAATAGAGAGACCGAGAATGAACAGAACATAAATAACAACTGCTCATGTAGCAAGAAGACAAGGAAGCCAAACCACAAATTCTACAGTGACCCGGCTCCGACAGCGAGCACTTGGTCAATAACTGCCAACGTTCTTCACTGTGGACCCTGTTTCAAACTTGGAGGGGACCAAATATGCCCCCTAGTCAATCTTATACAAGGTTCCACTTCTACCTGGTCTCTGACTATCTTCACTGAGCCAAAAACATGCTACCAGGGTATCCTCAAAGCCTTCCATGTTTTCTACTACAGTTTCCCAACTTCCCTGAATGCTATTGCATCCCTGCCAGATGAAAGATCATGGCCATAGCCCTTGCTACAGAAAAACAGAAATATATTGTTCTTGTTTTCATGTCTTTTCAGAATTGTTTGATGTATGATTGGTTAAATATTCTATCATTTTGTGAATATGTGAAATACCAAAATCGTCACATGTACAAAGCCCATACATATATTTTCATTTTCACAAAAAAGTATACAGATTGCCTAATATGTACTGTTTATATAAATCAGTTCAAATTAGGAGGCATTTGCCACACTTGAATGCTGATGAATATTATATAATTATTGTAGATTTGAAATATTTTGCCTGTGTATCACTTCATTTTGTTTGAGCAAAATTGCATCTGTTCTCATACAACTTCTCATACATGTCAAAAATTGCATCAAATTAACAATTAAAACAAATTATGTTAATATTTTGCTTGGAAAATATGTCGCTTACTTTATTCACGAGTGAAGACATTTGAACATATCTGACTAAGAAATAAAAATTGAATATTTGGGCTTCTGGAAAAAATTTTTTCATGAGACTTTTCATTTTACTTTTGACAAATTTTCTTTCTATAAATGCATTAAAATTGGATGGATTAAATAGCTATTATACTTTTATTGTGTTCCAAAGCTATATATTGAATATCTGTGTGAAATACAAAGAATACAAAGAATATTGGTGATGTATACCCATGAAATGCTTAGGAAAATTAAAGTACATTACCTGATGTCTCTGAAATTTGACAGTTACTGTTTCAAATCACACTTGGAGAAATGGTGAAAATGGATCTGCACCTTTCTAATACTGAAATAAAAATTAAAAATAGTCAACATAGTATTCATTAACCCAAATACTATCTTTCCAGACTGACAGCAAGATGAAACAAACTTGAGAATATCTGTTCCTATTCAAACAGTAACACATAATCGTACAAGAAATTCTTCAGACTGAAGAGAAAACATCTTTGATGGAAAACTACCCAAAGGGAACAAGAGCATGAAGAGGAAAATTATGTGGATGTGTACAAAGATGACTTGTTCCTCTTACTTCATTCTGAAAGGCTGGATCTTGGAAGTAAAAAATCACACATATTATCTTAGATATAAAATATATAATTTGCACCACTTATCAAATTGTAAACAACGTTTTTTGCAATCAGAGAAAAATATATACCTAAGACAACTGAGAGGCAAAGGGAAATTAGGCTTAATCAACTTACTTGATTTCAAGCAACAATACTTAAAAAAAATATTTGAAAAGAGAGAACAAATAAAGGAGGTTTTGTTATGAAGTTTTATACACACTCATAAAGGGACCAAAAAGGATCATTCCTACTCCTTCCCAACTCTGTTGTCAACACATGAAAGTCGCATCTTGTTTAACTTCTACTAAATATATAGTGTATTTATATTAAATGTCAGTTAATACTTATTATTATATATTATATATGCATTTTATCGAGTTAATTTGTCAGACTATATCATTTCATAATTGACTATCAAAAATACTTCTATTAAATACCTACATGTAAACATTCCTATTATTTTCACTCACGTTCACTTTCCTTTTCCTGAAATAGTTGTGATGTATATACACTGTTTCTATAAATCATTTCAGCAACAGAACATGTTTTCCAAAGCAAGACATTATTACGTATTCTATAAATATAGGACTGTAGGCATAAAATAATCTGTGTAGGTAACACAAGAGTCACTTCATTTTTTGAGCAAGAATTTTAACAAGTTCTCAACCTTTTCAACATTAGCGTCAGATCAAGAACTATAACACCACTCATGTTTTGCCTGTGAACGTTTTCATACTGCTTTAATGCACATCCATCTATCTATCTCATTATCTATCTAGATTTTTTCTGGTACTTAGGATTGAACTCAGGTATTTGCATTTGCAAGGCAGACTGCAGAACCACTAAGCTAAATCCCCAGCCCCTCTTTCTACATTTTTAAATGTATTTTTGGCTTTCTTATTTTCATGTGCACTTCTGGCTTTTTGCCCTTGCTTAGCTTTGTCGCTATTGTCAATCAAATAAAAGACCTCTTTATTTATAAAAATTCAAAAATGATGTGCTGACAGATACTGAATGTTTTTCCAAATGGGAGGTTTAACCTTGGGCCTCCGCACGCTCAACTACTAAACTACCTCCCGAGTCCCACCCTCCTCTCTAAAGACTGGGTCTCACTAAATTAATGGACCAGCCTGGCATAGTACTTGTGACCTTCCTGCCTCAGCCTCCTCAGTAGCTGGGAGGAGTGTGTCACCATGCCTGGCCAGTTACTGAGAATTTAAAGTATTTCATTAGCCTGATACATATTTGGGATCTATAGGAAATAAAAATAATACTAGTGCTATATAAAAATATCAAAACCCTCTGAAAAGTGAAGACACGTTACCTGTCCGGGAACGGTTCTCTCATGATGGCCGCCTTCCCAACGGAATCCAGGAAACCGTTAGTAACGGAGGATGCTTTCTGTGCAGAAAGGAAAAGAAAAAAATTAAACTGGCACCAGAATTCAACATCCAATGACATTTGTTTCTGAACTGAGAATCAAGTACCTGGACAAACCAGAGAGAGTTGGTAGCTGGATCACCCTTATTTCTGTTGCTCCCGGAAGTTCTCCCGTAGGAACGGAAGTAGGACCAGAAGGGAACTGAGAATTTCCTGGGGGCCAGAAGAGCCCTGGCCTGGAGGCCCAACACTGCCCCTGCTGGCGGCAGTAGAGAATGGCAACCGGCCGTCACTTGGACCTAGCAATGTGCCTGGGAGCTGAGCCGGCTAAGCGACCTTCTATTAGGGTTGAGACTACTTGAGTTACTGGAAGCTGACCCATTGCCAACTCCCTATTTAGTATGGGATGAGGGCTTAATCAAGTAGTCTTCTGCCTTTTCTACCTCATACCTTCTGCAACTTGTTAAGGGATACATTTCCTTCTTCAAAATACTTATGAACCTTTCAATCTTGAAGTTCTGATGTGCTAGGTGTGGTGGCACACGGCTGTAATCCCAGCACTCAGGAGGCTGAGGCAGAAGGATCCCTATGAGTTCGAGACCAGCCAGGGCTACATAGTGAGTTCCAGGTCAGCCTCACCCTCATAGAGAGACCCTGTCTCAAAAAAAAAAAAAAAAAAAATTAGTGAAGTTCTGATGTGTGTCTTATATGGGTTTGAATGTCAAGCAATTGATATTTATGTATTAAAATCCTTTGATAGCCAATTACTTAGAGAATTTAAAAAGATTAGTAACTTTTCAAAGAAGCCTATTTTAATGTGAAAATAGGACATCCAGTATCTACTGGTTGTAAAATTTTAATTTTAATTGTTCAGTGAGTTATACATATCTATTGATGGATATTTGATAGCTATAGATTTTTAAGTTATTATACCACATAAAATATAATTTTTTATCACCTGGAATTAGCATAATTAATTGTACAGTTTTGGTGTTTAACTTTGACTGTGTAATGGTTAACCCAAAGAATATTTATGTAGTACCTGCCATGTTATGGTAGCTTTCTAATAGTAGCACTTGTTTTTTTTGTTGTTGTTTTATTTTTCTTTTCTTTTTTTTTTTTGTACCAGGGTTGGAACTCAGGCCCTTGCACTTGCAAGGCAGGCAGCAGAACCACTGAGTCAAATCCCTGGACCTCTAATAGTAGCAGTTGTGGATTTCAGTCTTAAATTCCCTTTGTCCTCTGCCATTTCAATTACTTTGATATCATCTGATCAAGGACTCTGTAAATAAAATGAATACTTAATGGTAAATTAGGCATACTATTATTCTCTGGGTCTGTCACACTGCACATACTCAGCACAGTTTAAAATGACCTTTAAAAACTTATGAACTCATCAATTTCATACCAAATAACAAATAAAATATAGAACAATGTGGAACATACAATTGAGGCATTACATTGTTTGAGTTCACATACGATTTTTCCACCATAAATCATGCTTCTATAAATTCATACAATCGCCCCCAAATCAAAAATAATGCAAAATCCTGTGTTCTCCTAAGGAACAATAGGACTAAACTTTTACTGCAAATTAAATTCCAGTTGAATCCTAATCAGAAAGAAGAGGAGTCCATATTTAATGCACTACCAAGCATAAAGTTGATTAATTAAAATTACAAACTGAATTTATGACGAATATCACTTATTCAAATCCTTAGAGAAATAACTGGTTTTATATTGTTAATTGTCAGGAGCCACTGATGTATCATGTTTCCTAATTTATAAAACAAATACACTAACAACTCTTTAAAAATTACATTCTTCTGATTATGACAAGATTCCAAAATCCATTTTCCCAAAGTTATTGATCATGTGCATTTTCCATGTATATATTTGTGTATACTATTATCATAAAAATGCAGCTACTTTCCTAATCTTTGTTTTTATTTTCATCCATAGAGAGCTGTAGTAACCACAATGCTAGAACAGTGTCTAGGACCCAAGAAGACAAACAGCTCCCTGGCATAAACTAATGCACATCCCAGCCTCTGGTGTTCACTGATCAGACTAAAGGGAACCTGTATTGTATGAACAGCTCCTTCCTGGAATTTCCCTATAACCTTCATTTTCACTGAGAGAGACTGTTCATCACTGTAACACTTGCATTCCCTGTCCCTGTGGGATCAATAACAGTGGGTACTTGAAGAAAGCACTATTTTTTGTCACTGGTCATTCTGACAAATAGCAAACTGCTCAGTTGCCACCTTATTAACTCCATTTACCCAATAATGTGAAAAACATTTCATGTTGATGATGGAGTTTTATTCCTTAAACTGAGAAGGCATAAAATTACCACAGAATAATTACTTTAGATCTACAGACACCTGGTGATGCATTTCTTAACTATTGAACTATTTTATTTTTCATCATTTATGAGAATACCCAAGCCAAACTCACTCAGAGAGATTTTTAAATTATTGAGGGTATCAAAGCATTTTTTTGCTAGGGAATGTGACTAGGGAATGGGAAATAAATTGAAGTTTGTATTTTGTTTATATTTTAATCAATCTGCATCATCCTGGAATGGCCAGAATTTAACAGTCTTTCTGGCTATGGTAAAAGTGCTCCCATGCCACACTGGAGTGAACAAGGGAGAAGGACACACATGAGGAGGGTCTGACTCTTCATTTCTTTAAGGTGCCCCTTATTTTCCTCTTCTTGGGATGCTTCCAGGTACAGGAGAATATGTTCAAGTCCATGCTATGGAATAGGCTGATAGTGAAGAAGTATTTCACAAAGAAACGGAGGTAAACCCACCCCTGGTGTGTGATCAGGGAGAGTGATAAGAAGGATGCCCTCTGCTTACCAGCTTCTGCACAAGTATTATCCAAGCAATAGTAGAGATTGTTCCCAATATTTCTGTGCCCTAAGTTTCTGTATTTGGGTTTTAATTTTTTCCAATGTTTGTTACATTTCTCCAATGAAGCCAACAGGGCTTGAAGGATTTGAGACAAATAATTTTAGGAATTGATTCAACTTAACCATTACAAAACTATTCTGCCAGTTTTGCTGTTGTTTTGTAATTTGACAGTTTCATCTGAACTCCCCAGCTCATTATCATAGTTACTCATAGAATCATCTCTTTATCATTGTTTGATGTGTCCTGGATAAGAAAAGCCGTTCCCACATGTATTGCTCACAGGTACTAAGCCTTATTTCTTCAGATTAGCTGTGTGTGATGAGCAAATAATTGTTTGATTTTGCTTTTCTTGATTCCCTTCTGTTGCACAGCATTTTCTTTCTTCAGTTCTTGGGTTTGTGTGCTTTGCAATGTTCTATTTCATTATAATAGCATCATTATCATTATTAAAAGTACAATTTATCATCATTGAAGAGCTGTTTAACATTTATTGTAGTGCCGGTTTGATTATAGATAATTTAGGCTATATTATACCAAACATGTTGGGGAGATTAAACTTTTATATTAAATTCTAAGACATTTGCATACTGGTAAGAGAAGAACTCTATGTTTTCATTTCTATTCCATAGTTTGAGATTTGCATTATGATTATACACCAATTATTTATAATTTTTCAATGTGTGCTTCAGAAGACTATGTACTCTTCAATTTTTCCTCCAAGGCAACAAGCAAATGAAGGAAAACCTACTTTTTAAAATGGTGTGGAAAAGGCGTTTCACAAAAACAGAGGGCAAAAATACTACTAAATGTATAATGTTTCTAAATGTCATTATTATTTGGGGAATAAAAAAGGAATAGTGGGAGACCTCTAAGCATGTAAATGCTCATCTGAATGGCTAAAATTAAAAAAAAAAATCTATGTAGCCATGTGCTGTCAAGTAAATAGAGGGCTTAATGTCAGTTCATTGTGTTTAAATTTCTATTTGTTCTTGTAAAATAACAATTTTCTGTAGTACAACATGCTCCTTTATATGTATGCTCCTTTTCAGCTGTGTAGGGATTATGTACCAATTATTGATTTTTTTTGAAACTGTCTGCTATTGGTTCTTCCAATATGTATTTTGGTCAAATTTATTTTCTCCTTTGAGACGTGTATTAATATAATTTGGGAATTTAGTGCCATCTACTTTTCTTGACCCATTTTTCTTCAATTCAGGATTTCTTATTTGTTTGTAGACAAGTGAAGCTGATACTACTAAGCATGATACAAAGTTGTAAACACTCAATGAAATAATTCACAAACAATTCTTTAAACTGTGGAGAAGAAAAACATGTACTACACCTGTAATTCCAGCAGTCTGGTAAGTTGAGGCAGAAAGACTGCATGACAAAACCCAGTCATGTATCTTAGCAACTTAGCCAGAACCTGTCTCAAACCAAAACATACTAAAATACTGAAGATATAGTTCACTGCAAAGGACAAGGGCCCTGTATTGGCATGAAAGGAGGGGGTGGGAGTAACACAAGGAGGAGAAACAAAAAGGAAAAACAGTGCTGATATTTTTTCTTCATGGAAGCTGTCTGCATAAGTACTAATTCTCATGCGAGGTCTAGGAAAGCTGTGATTCTCCTCTCCTTGACTCTGTTACATCTTTATTAGCTCTTGGGCATGAAGCACACAACTAAAGTGGTGGTGATGGTGGATGTGGGTGTCCAAGGGCCAAGGGAAGTTCTCGGTGTCCCCAAGGTGGAAGTCTGCGGAGTATCTTCCCAACAGAGAGAAAAGAAAGGAGGGAGCTCATCTTCACTTGCAAACTTCACCTGACTCACTTCCAGCCTTTGAATCTCACTGGGCACAGCTAGCCATAGAGTCTCATGAACTCCCCAGGCTTACAGCACAGGCGGATCTATTGTCTTCCACTATTGTTGGGGTGAGTGCTTGAGGCCTTCTCAGACTTCCTTCATGGCTGTCTATGCTTTGGAATCTTTCACTCTGAATAAAGTCTCTCTGGGTAACAATATGGCCCATGTATTTGGCCAGCTCTATAAAAATGAGTCAGTGAGGAACAGTGTGGAGGAGCTGAAGCATAAAACAAGTCCCCGGGATAGCAGGTGGGAGGTCAGAGACAAAACATGCTGATCAATTCCTTTTCTTCACCTGTGAAAAATAGCCTAAAGGAAATGAACTGATATAAAGATCGACTTGCTGCATGGAAAATCTGATAAGCAAGGTTTTGTGAGCACCTGAAATTTTGATAGGAC